AGTGGTAATGCAGGACATAATTAACTTAATAAAAGTATGGGGGAAATTAAGAGAACTTAGAGAGTAATGTATAAAGGACCATTCTAATTTGTCAAAAGCTTTCTCCAAGTCCAATTTAAGGAGCATATTAATATTAGAACCTTTCATTTTTTGAGATTTTGTAATTAGTTCTTGCACTATAATTGCATTATCCGCTGCTCGCCTATTTTTCTGAAAGCTAGATTGAGTAGGGTCAATTAAAAATTGCAGGAAAGGCTTGAGTTGATTAACAATGATTTTGGTAATTACCTTATAGATCGTGTTACATAAACTAATAGGTCGATATTGAGAGATAGTAGCAGCATGTTTATTTTTTGGTATTAGACAAATGTAAGTATTATTGATGGAGGGCTCAAATTGATGTTCATTGAAAGCCCTGTGGCTAAAAGCCTTTACTGAATTACCCACTATATGCCAATATTTTTGATAGAAAAAGGAGTGAAGTCCGTCCGGTCCTGGTGCCTTTAAAGTCTTAAAAGATTTAATAGCCTGGCTGATTTCCCAATCTTGCAAGGGTGTTGTTAGGCAAGATTGGTCTGTTAAAGATAAAACATTTGAAGGTTCTATTTTAGGATTTGTAGGACAACTAAGCTGCTGAGTTGTAAATAATTTTTGGTAATATTGAAGAATATTATCACGGATACAAGTGGGATCAGTGGTCCAATTTCCACCTTGATCCTGAAGTGCAGTTATATGATTTTGTCTTCTACGATTCAAAGTACTTAAGTGGAAAAATTTTGTGTTTGCATCTCCATTATTTAACCAGTCCACTCGTGACTTAAGCTTCCAAAAGTCTTCTTCCAACTTTAATAAATTGTTAAATTCAAGAGTAAGTGTATATTCTAAGTTATGAAGGAATTGACTGGTAGCATAATGTTGGGAGGATTGATTCCCGTTTATTCGGGCAAGTAATTTTTTCTTGCGTTTAAAAATATTTCCAAAAGTGGTGTTGTTCCAATCGTGCACTATATTGGTAAACTTAGTAATAGCAGGTAACAAATGCAGTTGTTCTGCCCATACTTGGTTAATTAAAAAAGGAAAGGTAGGGTGAGAATCCCAAACAGTTTCAAATCTAAAAACCTTTTTCCTAGGTAGAGATACATGTTATAGTTCTAATTTCAGTGGCCGATGATCCGAATGGGTACGAGGAAGATTTGTTACTAGGGCATTTGGGTATTGTCTAATCCACTCATCGTTGGCTAAAATACGGTCTATACGTTCTAGTATATTAGCAAAATCATGTCTACCATTTATCCATGTATACTTACTGCCCTTATAACCTAAGTCAGTCAAATGACAGTAATTTATACAATCCAAAAATTTATTTGCTCTCGAATTATTAATAGGCAACCCACCAAACTTATCCCCCGCCTCTAGTATTTTATTGAAATCTCCCCCAATGACCCAAGGCCCCTGATACTGATCATGTATGCACATTAAATTGTGCCATAACTTTTGTCTACTTATTAAACTAGTACTTGCATAAATTGCAGAAAGCATAAATGTAAAAGGGTGAGGCAGTACCTGAACTTTACAGTGGATTTCTTGGCCAGTGAGTCAGCATGCTCCACATGCAGCACGTCTGCCAACCATAGTATAGCAATTTCCCCCGATTGGCCAATAGCTGGAACCTCTATTAATCCTGTAAAGTTAAAATCATCCTTGATAGCTTGATTACTGTGACTGTGTGTTTCCAGAAGCACTGCGAGTGAAGGCGTGTTGTAGTCTAAGAGAGACCTAAAATTTCTCCTAAACTCATCTGAATGGACACCCCTTCAATTCCAAATGATCAAATTCATATGATTATCAAAAGATTCAAGTGACTGGCTATCCCTGTGACTCGTCTGATCACTGGTCTCCCCTGGGCGAAGAATGAAAGTGGGCATCAACAGCATCGCATACTTCCCCACTGCTGGATTGGTTGTGGGTCTCAGACGGAAGGAGGTGGAGAGAAGATTTGGAGGGCACCTTATGTAAATCTTTCTTTCGTACTCCTCCTTCTGGACAAAGACTTTTATGCCATTTAGTAGTGCATGGATTGGCCTTGTTTCTCTGCTGTAGACGATGGCTGCATCTAGTTCCTCTTGAAGGTTTTGGTCGTGTTCTGCTTGATTGGGACTGCGTGGGGGGAGTTGTTGGGTGATGATACTGGGGTTGGAGGTACTGGAGGATCCCAATATGGTTGTATCCATGGAGTGGTGTGGTGTGGTTGTGGGTAATAGGGCATTTGGAGAATATGGGGGTGGAGATAGGAGGGGTCCCAGTGTGGAGTGGGAAGGGGAGGCTGTTGGTATGGCCCCAAGTGAGGTGCCTGGGTTATCGACCAGTGGTACCTGCCATAGATCTCCATTCCCAGCTGCATACCTTCCATGACTATCTGAGCAAGGTCCCTTGGGTGATTTACAAGAATTGTTACTTCCTCGCGATTGACTTCCATCGTGAATGTGAGAGCATGATTCTGAAGGCCAGTCTCGAGCCAAGATGTGAGCCGTGTGGGTGCATGTGGAGTTTGTACAGTGTAGACAATGGTGTTTGGTTCCATTATCAAATGTGGGGGTGGACGTGAGTGGGGTGTGTTGTTGTGTAGCAGGCGGTGGTTGGACTGGTTGCTGTTGGCTTGGTGTCTTCGTAGATAGTTGAGATTTGGAGAGAACATTTTGTAAAAGTTTGGACTTAGTGGAAGAGTGGACGATAGGATTTGATGGCATTTGATTAATAGTCTCCAGACATGAAATCTCATTAGGGTGTGGTGCTCCAATGGAGGACAAGGGCGGTGTGAGTGATTGATGTGCAAGTAGTGTTTTGGTGGCTTCAGCAGAGTTAGGCAAATTATCATTGCCTATATGCATGGGAATTATAACATTAGGTTTAGGGCAAGGGGATGAGGGTAATGCAGATGTGGAATGGTTTGGTAGGTTTGAGTCTAGGGTTTGCATGTGTGGTGAGATAGGGTGAGGAGGTGACTGTGTGTGCATAGTTGCTAAGTGGACGTGTCCCGTTGCATGGCTTATTATAGGTCTTGAAGAAAGACCAAATGCTGATTTGACCGAAGAAGTAGGTACTTGAGTAGTATTGGAAGGGGTGAAGTTTGGATTTTTTGCTTGTGGAAGTGGTGGATCAGATTTGTCCAAATCTTGTTTACTTAATGAAGCAAAATGATTATTAGCTAAAGAAGGGTTTATAGTTGGTTTATTGCTATTCAGCAGGTTAGGGGTAGGATTTTCATTATGCAAATTTAAGTGGGTAAAGGAAGTAATAGGAGGGTTAGGAAATAACATACCCGTATAGTTCTTGGGAGTAGCAGTGTTGTAATGATTTGTTTTCTTCTTCGAAAATTGTACTGTTTTCCATTCTTCTTTGGAAGTATTGGTGTAGGGTGGAGGAGAAGTGGAGGTGGTAGCAGAAGAAGGTAATGGTTGTTCATCCATTAGTCTGTAGGTGCAGGTCCTTTGATTGTGCCCCATCCGACCACATTTGACACATAACAAATTTAATCCTTCATATAATATGGTCTGTTTATGATTTCCAATATAAACATGGGTTTTTAGAGGTTGATCAACCGGAATTTCCACACATAATCGAGCATACCTACCCCTTGTTGTGTAAGAAGTACAATTATCCACAGTGAGTAATTATCCAATTTTATTTCCCACTTTCCATAGAATATGCAAGTCGTAAAATTCGGTAGGTAATTCCGGTAATCGTAACCATATAGCAGAATAGTTGATACTTATCTCCGAGGCCATAAACTTCGGTTCCTATTGTCGTACTGAAAGAAAGTGATTTAAAATAAACCAAGGTCCATTATGTAATGCGCGATTTTTGTTTTCTTCCTTTTGAAATTTTAGGACGAAGAAATCCGAACCCAAGTCAATTAGAGGTAGATTCTATGTAGGTTGCCATAAGGTATAGATATTTTGACGAAGAAGTTGATGTTCTACCTTACGACCATAGACCTTAACAATTACTGCATTTTGCCAAGGTTTATAAATTCGATTTTTTTCTTCCACTGATAGAGGGATGAAATTTGATTCATCAACTGGTGCCTCTAATTCATCATCAAGCATCATGGAAAAGTTTTGGCAGGATTCAGTCATAGATAATGAATTATCATTATTGGTCATCAAGGTATGTAAATAGGATTTTTGACTAGGAGCAGTGGAGGGAGTGGGGTTAGGTGTGTCTAGGATCATGTTATGTGGAGAGATGGAGTTGGAATTGTCGGTTGGATCAAGTTGTAGGTGATTGTCAGGTGGTTTTGGAAGTTTGAGATATGAAGAATCAGGGAGGTGGATAGAGGAGTTGATAGTATTTGCAGTTCTCATCTTTTACCCAAACTAATTCATGAGTAAAGAGGAGGTGAACTCCATTAATCATACTTTGTAATTATTTCATTAACAACTTCCATTTTATTTCCATTAGTAGTTTCAACCATATTGACCAAAATATTACAATTTTTATGGTTATATGACGAAAAACATATTTGCCAAATAGTAATACTTCTAATTTAATTTTCAATATCAAACACCACCCACAACCTGTCTACGGAACCTCTAAATACAACTGAAGAGTAATATGGAAATGCCGGCAACAAGGCCCCGGCTATACCTAAAAATACAAAGTATATGATAAACAACGGTACAGGACCCCGACATGAAGTGGGGCTCACCAAGTCAGCTGAAAGGAAGATGCGTCACTAGCTGCGACCAACACTGCCTGCTATGGAACAACCTACATCCATTTAAAGATGTAGCGCCCCGGCAAAAGGGACGTTAGTGCCATCGAATAGCACTAGTATGTATAGCTAAAAGTCCTCTTTCAAAACAGAATGTCCATATAAGCAAAAACAACGCATAGAAACAGCAAGTCACAATCAACAATATCCGAATAACCAATTGAAACATAACGATTTCCAGAGTAAGAAAATAGTGTGTATATATATATATATATATATATATTTGGTTGGGAGATCACTAGCACCGATATTCCACCGCCTTTGTTAGCACGGAGTCCGATCACGCCCGATCGGCCAGGCCATCTCCCTACGGACGATGTGGTTGACATTATGATGCGAAAGAAAGTTGTTACAAGAGTAGTACCACCATGTGCGCAACATGGCGTCTGATCTCCACCCGATCAGCTAGGCCGCCTTTCCACATTTGCCGTGTGGGTTGGCTTTTTCTTTTCCAATTCACAGGTATTAGTTTCATCCCACTTTGGGGGAATAATCACAATTTCACCAATATTTCAATTTTATCCCAAATCACAATCCACCCCTACACCGGCACGTGTATTTTCAGGTATGGGCCTTATGACCCACCCTTCCTCGGTCTGTCTAATGATACTCCCAATAATATTTTTAGTTGATTTGCACACAACGTAATATAGATATAAATATATTCATCTCAGAATCTTTCACATTGTATAGATCTTGATTAGTATTTTCACCCATCCACATTAATAATATTTCCTTGGCTCTTTGGCCCTTTCACAAGATTCATTACTCATGGCACGGTGGCCGCATTCTATATTCCATACATTAACTTCTTTTAATTTCAAGGATCACTACCAATTACCAATGTACAAAGTATTCCAGAAATCATATACCTCGAGTTCATTAGCCATGGAACTTTAAACACAAAAGGTTTCCTTCTCAAAGATTGGGGCATACCAACCAGCAATAGATACACACATCAAAGTCATAAACAAGCAATACACCAATTATTCGTGTATTACTCTTTCCTAATCACAACAATATACAGTTTCAAAACTGGAGCATGTAAGAACTCGAATCACATTGAATACATTATAAGACAAGGCATTAGTTAAAAACAACAACTTATGGGCATGAATTGAGTACTAAAAGCTTTTAGGCAATTCTGTTTTCGAAGTCATTTTAAAACAGTTGAGTCGAGGCTTATTTCATAATCTGTTCCACATTTTCTCATTTCATAGGCATCACTAGGCATAAATATAACTTAAGTCCTTGGCACGTTATCCACATTCTATTTTGCCCAATCCGTTTAATGCAATTTCAATCATCTTTATAGATTATCAACAACTAGACACACTCAATTAATGCATTTGGTACCATAAGAGCAATTAAGCATATCGAGTTTTTCTCACCCAATTTGGTATACTAGTTTTTATTTAACACACAACTCAAGCCGTACGATTTTAATAAGCAAACCATACTTTGAACATCTATCTTTCGATATAAGGCTCATTCGGAATAATCAAGTTTATGAGTTTATAGGGGATAACCCGGAATATAGAAATTAGGAAATTTGAGCCAACCATACTTGAACATACGAAAACATTTATGGAATTCGATTCTAAGAGAGAAAGTTTAGCCAACATACCTTGTTGAGCTTTCCTTAAGTTACAACAATGCCCCAATATTTCTAGCGATAATAATCTATCAGAAGATAGCAAAAAATGATTAATAATTAGAAAGACCCCCATGGTGCAACTCTCTTAGGGATTTCATCGAACACCTAACATGTGAAATAGACTTCAAGGTCCTATACTTGAAACCCCTTCTCTCCTCAACTAATTTCAACAAGAAACTACCCAAAAATAGTTGAAAATTCCACATACTACAACCTAGTGTACATGCATGGCTTATTTCTAACCCTACCATACATTTGAATTCTTAACCTCTTGCATTAAAGCTCTAGGAGTAGGACTTACCCGGATGGATGATAATCTAACCCTACCATACATTTGAATTCTTAACTTCTTGAAGATTTGAACAACATTAGGTGATTATGAAGCTAGGCCCCTCCTTTCTCTCTCTATATGCTCTCATCTCTCTCTAAATTCAGTAGAAAATGACCCTAAATGAAGCCCCTCAACCTATTTATTAAAATGGGGCCGAGTTATAAAAATAGAAAAAATAAACCTCCGAAATCGGGTCTGCGATCGCAGAATGGACCGCAAAACAAGAACGTGGGCCGCAGAATGCATCGCGAAATAGGTGCCCAAAACTAGGCAACACTGGCCCAATCTGCAACAGATCTGCGATCGCAGAGTCAAAAATGCGACATATTTGCGATCGCAGATTCGACACAGGATCGCATTTTTCCAGCCTTTGGTAATTTTTTCATAACTTTGTGTAGGAATGTCCAAATGATGAACGATTTGAAACATTGGAAACTAGACTCGAAAACCTTTCTTATGATTGGTTGTTCATCACATAAAACCTTATGTATATATAGATATGCTCGTTCAAAGTAGGGACTTGTGCAAACTCATTTGGAATTTTAGCCTATTATGAAATTTTCCAATTTGACTTAGACTTACGCCTCTCCTTGGACCCCAAACTACTTACCACAAGACTTATACACTTGTTTACCAAATCCAATTGATGCCCATCATGTTAATAGCACATAAAATATTATAATTAGCCTACATGGCACCTCGAAATCCTAAATTACTTAGCGAAATTTTCCGGGGCCTTACATCACGTGACTACATACAGAGATCATCTTTCAAAAATTTAGCTTCTCGTAATCCATCTATATTACCACCCTTCCTAGTGGTTACAATGTACAGGTTACTTCCATAAGGCTCTCTCACTTTATTTTCATTTGTCTTGCATCATGTGTTGTTTACCCGTAATCTTCAATGCGATATTATCTCAATGTCTTGACTATTTATCCAACTATATGATCTGATTTAATTAACCTCACTTTTAGGTACTCTACAAGCGCCCTGAGAGTGGGCAAATTTCCCCTTTTCTATAGACTTCTAATGTCTTCAACTTTGTTTAAGCTTGTGGATTCCAAGCGGTGCTCTTAGTTGTGCTGCCTTACTATCTATTTTCAGCTGGTAACTCTCCTCGTGAATCTAATTTTATGCCTTATGGCGTCAAGGGTCGGGGTATGTCCCTTTTGTTAAAACAAAAAGATATTGCTCGCACTCCTTATGAGATGTTTTCCTAAACAATAATCTACCTGCTCTACTTGTCCATGTGACTAGATAACCTAGGTTACTTTTCCCAGATAGATGCATTAAGACGTCTCATTCTTTCAAACTTATCCATGTGGGCATTTTGAGGCCTTGTTTTATACCAACTCGTAATGGTTTGAAGTACTTTCTTGCCATTGTTGATGATTTTCTAGGACTACGAGGGCTTGTCTCATGGGTTTCAAAAGTAATGATTTTCCTTAAAGTTCAAGCTTAAGTTGCCATGATTTCAAACCAAAGTGTGTCCCCTTTTCAAAAGTCATAAATGGGTCGGATTGGATGGGTTACGTGGTCTTCTGCTCACTCGACTTCTAGGATCATTGGCAACGTCAGTATCATGTGCAGGAAATTTTGCTACCTCTAGCATTCCACCGCCTTAGGAAGGGTTAGATTGTTCGAATTATGATAATCTCATAAGTAGATGTCTTCTTTTCCATCCTCATGCGCTTGTGGCATA